TCTGGACATAAACTTATTAGGATCAACACTATGTAGGAGCTGAGGTCAGTTTTGAGCCCACTCCCTCAGAAACCAAGATGGCACCCAAAGAGTCTGCTCTGGATGGATGGTGAAAGACAGGTGGACATCTGCTCTTGCTTTATCTGTGAAGTAAATATCTCTGTAAAAGCTGATCAGTGATAAGCGGTTAAATGCTCTTGGGGCCAGTTAGTTAGTAAATAAACATTTATTAAGTGCCTACTATGTGCCAAGCGCTGTACTAAGCACTAGGGATAAAAAAGAGGAAGAAAAGGCCTTGCCCACAAGAGACTCACAACTGGGGTGTAAGTCACTGCCCCCGAACAAATGGGGGAGACCTGAGCTTGTGGGAGCAGAGAGAAGCGGTAACCCCAAACTCCTGAAGGTACCTGCACACCCTGAGAGGCCACATATCGTGGCCATCAGACAGCGGAGTCAAAGCGCACTCGCCACACTCGGAATGATCTGGATGAAGGCAGGCTGTCTTGGTTTCTAGCTGTTCCCTTACCAAATAAACAAGAGAAGAGAGTTCTTTTTTTTCTTATCTAGACCATGTGTCTCCTTAATGATAAACACTGAATACATATTTTTTGTTATTAAATGAGGCAGTTAAATGGCATACTGAATAGAGCAAAGGACTTAGAGTTAGGAAAGCCTGAGTTCAAATCTTTCCCGAGACACCATCTGTGTGGCTCTGTTTACTCCATCAGCATCAGTTTCCTCAGTGGTGAAAAAATCCATTACCCTAAAAGATTTGAGGATATTTCTTCTCTCCACTACCATCATCTCAAGTCCACACCAGCTATAGGCCACCCTGTTCACTTTAGCGGACAGTATACCTAACTCATAGGGATGTTGTCCTTAGGGATTAAATGAGATCAAGTGTGTTCAGCACTATAGAAATCTAGTTATTATGAATGGGCAATGTCGGGCCTAATTTTTAACAATTAAACTGCAAGCTCCTTGAGGGCAGGGACTATCTTTTGCCTTTCTTTGAGTTTAGCACAGTATCCAGCACATAGCAGGTGCAAAATAAGTCCTTATTGACTGACTGACAACTGCCAATAGATGGGTTTGGCAAGTTATAGCATGGTTTGGATTCTCTGAAAATTCTGGAATGGATTGTTAGCCAAATGATTTCTGAAGATTCTAAGGACTGTCCAGCCCTAGCAGCTCAAATGAGCTTGATGGGAATCAGTCAAACAAGACTACCTTTATATTCTTTTTGACAGGGTTTACTATAGGGACATAGGAGAAAAATGCCATAAACAAGGTAGACTCAGTTTTAGTAAAACACTTGGCAGCATCTCCTAGTATTCTTATAGGACAGGATCGAAAGATAGGGATTAGAGGAGAGCACAGCTAGTTGTGTTGGAACTGCCTGCCTAACTCAATCCAAACAACAAATCCATGTTGATGAATGGACTGATCTCACCTTGTGTGGACATCTCTTCTGGAGTGCCCATAAGGCCCTGTGCATGTCCATGTTCTGTTCTACAGCGTCCATTTGGTGATGTCAATGAAGACATCAAGAGAATCTTCAGCAGATCTATATAGAGTGTGGAGCTAAGAGGGACTGCTGATATGTTTGATGCCAGAGGAAAAAAAAAAGATCTAAAAATATTTCAAGAGTCTGCATTAGAGGTCAAACTTCATGAGATATGGTTTGCAAAGAATAAACACAAAACTTGCTAAGGAAGACAGATAATTGAATTCAAAAAGACTCATGCAAAAGCAGGAATTGTGTGGAAGGATTTAGAAGGAAGTCCATGCAAAAATGGTTCATGGGGTTTGTTAGCAAGCAAACAAGCACCAAGATTTACTTTCCACCTCCTATATACCCAAAATTGTCAGGTTAACAGGGATCACTCACAAAACAAAAGGCAATGTGATCTCACTCACAAAGGGAGGCAAGTGTTCCACTGTACTCAGATGACATCTGAAGTACTGAGTTCAAATTTGGCTATCACACTGAGAAAGAAAATGGGCATGCTGAAAGGCGACTACAGGATGATGACAGGGAAATGAAGGGTCTCAAAACCATGCCATAGGAGGAATGAATTAAGACACTGGAAATATCGTGTAGAGATGAGAAAGCCATGGGAACCGTGATCCCTATTGCCTCCTCTCTACTTGGGGCCAGGGAGGATTTGGAGATATTTCTTCTGCTTGAACCCATTGAAAGGAATTAGGAACAGTTGGTGGGAACTACAATGAGATATATATTTGCTGTAACAAAGGGAAGAAACTCCTTACAGTCAGAGCTGCCTGGAAGAAATAATCTTGGCAATGAAAAAATGACATATGAAGCCAGGCAATGAAGAGAGGTAAGTCCCAATGTTTTCACTTCTGTTTAAAAAGTAGATATTCTTCATCCAATCCCAGCACTCAACGTCCAGCCTCTGAGCTCACTGCAAGACTCAAGGGCCTCTTCTGCCTGTCCAGAACTAGTCTCCTTTTAGGGGTCAGTTGCCCCTTTTTCTGCCAGAAATTTCTGCCAGACTATGCCTACACATACACGTGTGCACTCCCACATACACACCTGCACACAGAAGCACACACACAGGCATATACTATCTTTCTTTCATCTACTCTGATGGGCACTTTATTATCTGTACCAAACAAAATGGCACTTAGTTGAATGCTGACATATATTGTTCTATAATTACTTCAAATATGTACATCTTGTCTCCTCGGTTGATTAGAGGTTGCCTATGGTAAAGGGCCAAGTCTCAAGCAGCATAGCGCCTAAAAGTGTAAAGCATGCAGCAGGTCCCCAATATATGGTGCTGAATTGAGTTATATGGGTCGGTGTGTCCAGTTTTGTAGATGGAAGCTGACTGGAAAACACAGATGTAACCCAAGCATTACTTCTGCTCTAAGAGCATCAGTCAAATTGAAAAGCCATAATTAACACTGAATACAAAGGCACAATAACTAACAACATGTTCATAAAACAGAGCCAAACCACTAATCCTAAATCACTTTTTACTTTAATATAGCTCACCACCACACTGTACTAGAAGATACTGTGGAAGACGGTTGGCATGGTACGTGTTGGGTGAGATGACAGGGACCTAAAAAAGGCACTAAAAACGAACGAATGAGCCCAGGAGCCCTGACGCCCAGTCTCACACAACTGAAGACAAACTGTGGGTGTCTGGGCAATAAGAGCATCAGATTGGCCAATGCCGTTGGGGAGAATCAGTTTCAGTGGCTTGAGTAGCGTGGCCTGGCCCCCGTGGCTGTAGCTGCAAAACAGAGGAGGAGTCAGGTTTGCGGAAACTCCAAAGAGCTGCTCCTCACGCGCGTGTAGGCTTTACGCGGCTCAAACAAACAGCAATATCATTATCACATCATCGTCTAATATGAAAAATCAAAACGGCCAGCTCCGAGGAGAATGAATAGCATCGTTAAACAACATTCACCATAATGGAAATATGTCTGCCCATAGCTTCACATAATCTCACTGATATTTTAACAAAACTGCCCCTCTAATTATATTTTCTTTGAAATTACTGATCACTTGCTATATAATGTGCAGATATAATAAGGGACTACAAGTCTGCACTATCTGTTAGTATGTCCTGGATAAGGGGCACAGCACAGGCATGATCTGAGAAGGAATATGTGGCAAGAGATGGCACCCGTGATCTGGAGGGTTTGACATTCCTAATAGAGAAACAGGACATGTCACGATGTGAAAGAAGACTCCTTGGAGCTGATGTCCATAAATAAGGTTCACATCTTATCTGTGATGCCCACAACCTGTGGGTCCTTGGCCAAATTACACATTAGTTTGCTCATTTGTAAAATGAGGGGGTTTGACCAAATGTCCCCCACCACAATTCTCTGCCACTTTAAATCCCATGAAAATGAAACTAACAAACATTATGACAGATTGGCTTTGGTGAAAACTGCTATAGGCCTGAATGCAGTCGCTAAGGACGGAACGGCGGGGTTTGGTCAGAAATCATGATCTAGAAACATCTATCAATCCTGTTTGTACACCATGGTTATAGAAGGTTGGAAAAGACTCCTGCTCTCTCAGAGATGAGCACATTTCCTGGTAGACCAAGGCGCCAAAGGCAGAGCCAGGCAGCAGCAGCTGGGTGTGAATCTCATTTTCTAAACTTCCTAGCTATATGGCGGCTATTGATTTAATCTCTCAAACCTTCAGCTTCTTCATTCGTGAAATGGGAATCTAAATCCCTGTAGACAGTACCTGCCTCATAGAGCTGTAGTGAGGTTAAAGTGAAATAAGGAATCAAAAGGGTCTTGGCCAACCTTAAGGGCAATGAAGATAGTAGTTTTACTATTCGTGCTAGAAGGACGTCATGATTTCTGTTGGACATTTCCTCACTCACAGCAAGTAGCAACAGACAAGTGAATAGTCCTCAGAGGTCTGAAGTACAGGAACAGTTTATGAGAAGGCAAAAAGGAATAGGGCTTCTCCGGGCCCACAATGTCTACTCTAAAGGCTGTTCACCGTCTACATCCCCGGTAAAGAAACATCAACAGGTGTGGATGCCTCTCACAGTGCTTTGTACAGCGCAGGTGGTCAATGAGTGATTGGGGAGTCAAACTGCATCTAAGGAAGGGCTGACCTACATTTCTCCTTACTTTGAACTGCCAGAAGTTAGCTCTTCCACCATCCCACCAACTGTCTGCCAATCCTTCTGGTGTCATCCTAATGTAAGAATGCAGCAAGAATTATAAAAAACAAAACAAAACAAAAAACAAAACAGTAATTGATGTACCATGTGATCTCACTTATTTTATAAATGATTCTTTCCAATTATCTGGATTAAAAGTCACTAGAATCTGAGGCAGAATATTAAAAGCTATTTTTTTTAATTCCGATTTTTGGAGGCATTCATTACTTTCCAAAGCTATCTCAGGAGTTGGACAATAGTCTTGCAATAGAATCTCAGCTCAAATTTCCTAACGTAAAACTCCCAATGAGGATTCCCCACAATCACCTTCCTTCCTGGCAAAGTAGGCTTTTCTCCTTCAGTCTCTTTGGCTGACTTCTCATCTTCCTTTGTGGTGCATGTGCCCTCTTTTTCCTTTTGTATCTTAATAGCTATTTTTTCTGGAATAATAACAGGTTCCCTTTGTAACAATTTATGGTAAGGTTTTGTCCTAAAAAGGAAAAAAAAGAAAAAAATGAATTATCAATTAATTTTCTGGAAATTAAAAAAAAATTCCAAATTTCTTATAGCATCTTATGATGTTATTTATATCACTTTAAGTTTTCCTGTCACTTCATTTGACCCTCATAGCAACACTCCACAATATGTGTTACTATTAATCCCCATTATCTAAATGAAGAAACTGAGGCTCAAAGATCAGTTAGTTGCCCAGGGACACATGGTTGGCATCTGAGGAAGAGGGACCCAAAGTCTTCCTAACTTTCCATCTGGAAATCTATTCAGTTGACACAATGCTGCCCCACTAGCATTTCTCCTATGCCTCCTTTTAAGAAAAAAAAATGTATGTGTGTTTATGAATTTCTGATTGTTGGAATATCTTTTCCCCCTTCAACTGGGAGCTACTTGAGAGCAGGTTACATAATACAGTTTGAGGCCCCAATGTCCATCTTCATTTCATTCATATAGCAGATCCTGAATAATATTTTTGACTGTTGTTTGTGTCAATGAGCTCATAAATATTTTACTAAGTCCATACTGTGTTCCAGGCACCATACTAAACATTAGGGATACAAAAAGAGGCAAAAGACAGTCACTACTGCCAAGAAGCACACAATCTAATGGGAAAGACAATAAATAACCAAATACAAGCAAAGCAAACTATATGCAGGATAAATAGAAAATATTTAATATAGAGAAGGCAATGGAATGAAGAGGGATTGGGAAAGATGTTGCTGAAGATGGAATTTTAGCTGGGATTTAAAGGAAGCCAGTAGGGGCAGCTAGGTGGCATGGTGGATGGAGTTCCTGGTCTGGAGTCAGGAAGACTTCAGTTCAAATCTGACCTCAGACACTTACTAGCTATGTGACCCTGGGCAAGTCACTTAACCCTATTTGCCTCAGTTTCCACGTCTGTAAGATGAGCTAGAGAACGCAATGGCAAATCACTCCAGTATCTGTGCCAAGAAAACCCTCAATGGGGTCACAAGGAGTCAGATACGACTCAAAAATGACTGAACCACAACAAAGGAATCCACCAGGCAGAGAGGAGGAGGGAGAATATTCCAGGCATGGGGGTCAACAAGAGAAAATGTTGAGAACTAAGGAAGGGAGGGTCTTGTTCCTGGAAGAGCAAGGAGGCTATAGTGTCACTGAATCAATGTGGACATCTCCAGAAATAAAGAGTAAGACAAGAAGGGGAGGAAGAGGCTAGGTCATGAAGGGCTTTTAATGGCAAGCAGAGAGTTTCGTATTCGATCCTGGAGGCAATAGGGAGCCACTGGCATGCACGGAGCGTGTGAGGGGGTGAAGGTTGAGATGGTTAGACTCCTACCTTAGGAAACTCACTTTGGTGGCCCAAGGGAAGATAGATTGGAGTGGAGAGAGACCCGAAGGAAGCTGACTCCCAGAAGGCTACTGCAACAACCTGGGCACGAGGAGATGAGGGTCTGCACCAGAATGGCAGTCGTGTCAGTGGAGAGAAAGGGCTACACTTGAGAGATCGGAGTGTGAGATGTGTGTGTGTGTGTGTGTGTGTGTGTGTGTGTGTGTGTGGAGGCAATATTCACAGAAATCTTTACCTGAGGATCTTTACAGGAAACTTTTTATAAAAATTTATTAGATAGTAGCAAATGTTAGACTTTTGTTCTTTCTTAATAATATTTTTCCAATTTCATGTAAGAACAAATTTTAATCTTTTTTTTAATTTTGAGTTTCAAATTCTCTCCCTCCCTTCCCTGACTCATCTATGAGAAAGTAAGCAATTTGATATAAATAATAAACGGGCAATCATGTAAAATATACTTCCATATTAGTCACGTAGTGAAAGAAAACAGACAAAAAAACACAAAAAAAATTAAAAAGTGAGAAATATGCTTCCTTCTGCATTCTGACTCCATCAGTTCTGTCTCTGGAAGTGGAGAACACTTTGGAAGTGTCTTGAATCACTGTATTGCTGAGAAAAGTTGTTATTCACGGTTGATCATTGCACAATGTGGCTGTTACTGAGACCAGTGTTCTAGTTCTGCTCACTTCACTCTTATCAGTTCATGTAAGTCTTTCCAAGTTTTTCTTTCTTTTTTTTAAAATTAACTTCTTCATTTTATTTTATTTTATTTTATTGTTCCACTTAATAGTATTTTTTTCCAATTACATGTAAAGATGGTTTTATAAGATTTTAAGTTCCATTTTTTTCTCCCTTCCTCTCTCCCCTCCCCTCTTCCTAAGATAACAAGCAAATTGACACAGGCTGTACACATACAATCATATTAAACATATTTCCCCATGAGTCATGTTGTGAAAGAAGAATCAGAACAAAAGGGAAAAACCACGAGAAAGAAAAACAAAAGAGAAAATAGTCTGCTTAGGATGACCCTAGGTTGTGAGTCTGAAGGACTGGGAAGACGTATTTTTGACAGTAATAGAGAAGTTTAGGGGAAAAGATGTTAAGTCCTGCTTTGGACATGTTGAATTTAAGATGTCTACTGATATCCAATTGGAGATGTCTGAAAAACAGTGAAAGATTGGAGATCAGCAAAGAGGTTAGGGCAGGATAGACAGATTTGAGAATCATCAGCATAGAGATGGTCATAAAATCCATGAGAGCTGATGAGATCATCAAATGCAGTACAGCAGGAGAACAGAATACAGCTCAGAACAGAACCTTGAGGGCCACTATGGTTAGAGTGAATAGAAGAGTTTGGTTTAACCTCTATGAAGGGGGTGGGAAAACAAGCAAATGATGAATGCTTATTGGTTAGACTATAATTTGGAGTAGAAGAGGAAACCCACACTGTGAAGTCGATCACTTTGATACTCTGAACAGAAAATGATTTGAAACAAGCATTAAATAGGAGAAAAGTAGTATGGATTGCATTTGGGAAACTTCACAATGCTTTTAGTCACTGAAAGCAGGCCCCAATTTTTTAAACATCAATATTCTTATAATCATGATTTATGTCTGTGAGTCATAGATTAATGTTACAATCTTTGAAAAATTTTATCACCCAAAGGGCAATAGTGAGAGGTCCAGTTGCTATAAATAGGCTGTGACACAATTCCACCAATGAAGATTTAGTTTTAAGAATAGCATCAAAAATAGGTCTTTAAAAGATGGTGAACTACACATGTATATAGAGTGAAAGTAAGCAAAATATGATGATGTACACTGGTATACCATGAAATGACCAGAGCTCTGAGAGGAAAAAAAATTCCTAATACATTGGATGAACCACTTGTGATGAATTTACAAGAGGACAGAGATCAAAGTCATGGACAAAGAGAAAGATACCAACGTCCTTGTAAAGGTAGTGCCAATGTTGATGAGATAAGAAAGTCTTTAAAGTATCCAAAGACCTGTCTATTGAGGAGAAAATCATGATTTTTATATCAATAGGATATGTGTAACGAATATGCTAATAATTTCACTTTCTCAAGAGCTGCCTTTTTGGCTTGTGAGTCAGAAGCTTACAATGCAGCTTGAAATGATCAAGCAAACTTTGACAACACTCACAATCACTGGCTTCCTTGTGCCTGTGTACCTGAAGTGAAGCAAATCAAAGATTATAGAACCTATTTCCATCACAAAACTCTGGTCTTACGACCCACCAAATACAACCCCCGAAGACTTGAACAATGCTGTTCCCACAGAACTTCAGGACACCTCTACCTTAGTGAATGTGGGATTTGTGAGCTAATTGTGGGAAATCACTCTGGTACTAGAAACAATTGTTTGTAATCCACTTTCCCTGCTACTTTCCCAATTGTGATTTAAGTATATAATCTCTGTCTTCCTTCAGCAAAGTGGAATTCTGATCAGGAGAATGCCCAATTCGCAAATCTGTTCCTCATAATGAAACTAGTTAATCAAATGGCTACCTTTTTACCAGTACTTCGTCTCTGGCCTGCTATTTAGTCATTCTCAGGCTGGAGACTGGCTCAGTAAAATCCTGTTAACACTATACAGCTAGCTGTCTAGTTCTTAAGAGTCACTACTAAGAGGCTTAAAGGATTTTTTGAAAAAGTTTTCATTCAGTAAGTTTGTAGTTCATCTTCTAGTGCTTATAAGGATTTCTTTAATTGTGGATTTCTGTCGATAAATTATTCAAAGTCTTATTTTTCTTGGAAATAAATTATTTTGTTATCAAACAATATTGTCAAATTGTGGATTATGTGATTTGGGGACATTTACCTTAAATTTTAAGACTTCATATTTTTGTCTATCTTTGTGATTTTTCCTCATTTTCGCATAGTGTGATGACTTTCATTGGTATTTTAATATAACTAAATTCTATCTTTCATAGGCTTTTGTGACTTTGTCATTATAATTTATGTGTATATGTATCTGTAGAAAACATATACAAAATAAATACAAGACAATTTGGCGAGGAGGTCAATGAGCAGCAATGGAATCAGGAAAGACAATCTGGCCCAGATAAGAAGACTGTGCATTCTAGGCTTGGGCACAACCCGTGCAAACAAAGATGGTGGAGTGCCATGACTGAGGAGCATGTGCTCAAATAGCTTTTCCTCCCATCCTTCGTCCAGCTTACACTTACACACACACACATACACACACACACACACACACACACACACACACACACACACATACTTTTTAGATGCCTTTCTGTGATCTCGATTAAAATAATGTTTGTGCTTCTTGATTGGTGGGTGAAAGATCTCTTAGCTCTGGCTGGACTTCCTTGATTCTTCTAGATGCTGGCGCCTTCCTGCCACACTTGCCAAACACCAGGCTTTAATTGGGATCTACTTAGAAATGCACATTTTTGTCTTGTTGACTGTATATAAGATCTTTGATAAAGGGTTGCTCCATTTTTAGCTCTTTATCCCTAGATCTTGTCACATATTAGATGCTCAACAAATGATCAGCTTTGTAGGCAACAGGGGTAAGAAGAGACTGAAGATAAGAGAAGGGGGGCTCTAATCGAGTGGGCAAGATCCCACAGGATGAAAGGCACCTGCAGAGAAGTT